CAACTGCACAAGCCTTCTAATTGGTTTCCTGTGGTTCTTGAAACATCCGGAGGTCTTTTTAATTCTGGAATCTGAGCCGATCACTCGCCTTAAATTTCGCAAATGACTGCTCCTTCCTTATGACTCGGCTCCTGACCGCCTCACTGGCTCCTCTCCTCACTGTCCCCTGGGTGCAGCCGCTTTTACAGTCAATGTCCCCCACTAGACAGCGCGGGCCCCTCTGAATCCCCAGCACTGAGCACAAGCTGGCTGTCAACCGGGGGAGGGGGTGTTCCAGGTGTCTACACAGCTCTGTGTGGTCAGAAATGTTTGTCTAGGCGACCCCAGCATGCCCCCAAAAGCACTGGAAGAAATTGACTCTGCAGTGACAGCCCACAATCAGCTACCAACGCTGATTTTAGAGCAAGTGTCTCATAGGCTGTTTAATGTCCAGATGCTTTCCCGCTGACGACACCTTTATGCCACATGTGTGTCCATGCTGATGTGTGTGAGATCATGCTTGGGGAAGTGCCTGCCACACATTAGCATCAACTTGCACCCACCTGTCTCTGGTGAGGGGATGGTAGAGTATCTGTCTCAGCATGGAGCTTGGAGAAGATTAGGAGACCTGGCCACACACTTGCTGAATGCTGACCAGGCACAAGTTTCAGTACCATCTATGCAGGCATTAAGATGTTTGTCCTTCCAGTGACCCCTGAGATAATTTCCTTTATGATCCACTCCTTACAGGTGAGGAGAGGAAGCACAAGGTGAGTGGTTAGTAGATTGCCCCAAGACAGCAGCGAGTCCCAGAGCTGGGAGTCCACTCTTCACTTCCAGACTCCCCATCTTCTGAGAGTAGTAGTGTTTCCCCCGACAAAAGCCCAAGGAAGGGAAGGTCAGGACCCAGAAACTTCAAGAACTTCCCGGCCAGAACTGGAGCTGAGGACTCCAAGACCTTGGTTACACATTGTGCATGGGGACTTCCCAGCCTCCTGTAAATTATAACATGGAAGTGCTGTTGTACCCAACCCTAAGAGATGAGAGAAAAGGAGACAGAGGTTGGCTGTCGCAAGCCCCTTTCAGTGGGCACAGGGATCTCGATCAAGTCAGCAAACCTGAACTATGGTCTGCTCTGGCTGGCTTTGTGGGACTCCCATGGTGGACTAGACACCATGTGGACCACAAGACAAATGTTAACCAATCACATACTTGCTGTATGTGCACATCCGTGTGAGTTTATATACACACCTGCTGGCCCTGCTCCAGGCTGACTCTGATCCTTGAGTTTCTCCCTGATTTTCATCTTTCTGAGCTCTCCTCATTTCTCTGCTTGTTCCCAAGTTTCCCTAGAGTTCTCTTCCTGGCCCTAGGACTTAATTGCTTATGGAATAAGCACTTCTCTTGGCCTCGGAGGCTCCGTTCCTAAAACAAGAGTGACATTCTGTCTGTCTGGGAATGACTTCCCTTCCCCATCGGCAAATAGGTGACATGGTCACTGCAGGAAAGGCTCTCCCTTTGGGGGTATCAATCTGAGTCCAGAGGATGGGGTGGGGGCAGGATGCCACTTGCTCACTAAGTGTGAAAATCTCTCCCTCACAATCTGGCACCATTGTCTCAACTTACATCTGAAAAATGGAGGCCCAGAGAGGTCAGAAACTCCCCCTTGGTCACACAGCATTGGCTCCCATCTCTGTCTTGCTCCAAAGTCCTTGTTTGAGGCCTCATCACCTCAATTTAGCTTCTTCTCTGCCTTACAGTTTGCTCATCCTGGGGGATGCCCCCTGGAAGCCTTCCAGACCACCCACCCTCACTGTCCATGACTTGCTTTGCCCTCAGCACAGGCCTGGGCACACAGAAAGCCCCACACATTGGCCTCAGTGAAGAGCTCTCGCCCAACCCTGACATTGAGCCCTATCCCCTCCTGCTGCACCCACTCTAGGGAATGGGGGCTGTCTTCACCATCCTCCCGAACACACAAAACCAAGTGTGTAGGAGGACAGCGGGTCACAGCTGTGAGCGGTCGGAGGATAAGCAGCTGGTTGCAGCGCTCTGCTCTGCGTCCCAGGCTGATCTCTCCCCTCCCGTGGTCCCCTCCCACTGTCCCCTCCCTCTGACGGCTGCAGCCCGTGCCACAGCCAGGCGCTTCCCCCAACCTCTCCTCGCGGAGCCCGCCTCCCGCCCTCCCTGCTCCCTCCCCTCCCCGCCACTGCAGCATTCGCCTACTGCAGCTCCAGCCGCCGCCCGCGCCTCTCCAGCCTCCGCCACCCCGCCACCGCCAGCACCATGGCCAGCACTTTGTCCGGTAAGCGCCCGGGGCCTCGAGCTTCGGGGAGGCGGGTTCTGAGCACAGGCTATTGTCTGGCCTCACCTGCCGCTGGGCCGGCTGCGGACCATTTTCCCTTCTCGGACCCCGCGTTCTGCAAGGGTGCAGGCGCGCACCGGGCAGAACCCACTACAGCCTGGGTTCGGGGCCGCCAGGTTGGGTAGACCCGGTGCCCATAGGGCGGGGATTGCGGCGCCAGCCTAGCGGACTTGGGCTGCTGGGCAGGGGCCGCTCTTGGAATGTGGGCGTCGGCGCAGGGGCGCCGCCGTACCATGGGTGGGCGCGCTTGCGGGGTCCCGTGAGGCGACTGCAGACCCTGATGCGACCGCGCCTTCGCCGGGGGGGGGCGGAGAAAGTAGGGGGGACCCCTTTGCGGGAGTCCCAGCCTAGGGCCGGCGAGGCCCTCAACCTCCCTGCGCCAGTGGAGCGGCCGAGGGGGAGGAGGGGGTGCCGCGAGAAGACGGGGGAGGGAAACCTGAGCCAAGAGCGAGCCTCGCCGCGCCTGCACCCCGCGTCGCCGCCCCTCCCCTCGCCGCTGCGGGCTCGGGACCACCCTCTGCGACATGGTGCCACCCGCCCTTCGTCGAAAAAGCCACCGCCCTTTGCGCTGCGGGTTTCGATGGGGGAAGGGCCTCTGAGGTTTCCGAGCTTTCCTAGCATGGGGGCGTCTGCCTCTCCCTCCCCTACCGCCCCGCCTCCCCAGCTGCGGACCCTCTGCTCTTAAGTGCAGCGACCCCCTCCTTCTGGCCGGTTGCGGGCGCTGAGCACCAGTGGAGGGGCGGCCACGCAGCGAGGCGGAAAACGCAGGGCAGAAACTGGACGCGGGCGAGCTGCCAGGCGACCCTCGGCGCGAGGACGCGGCGTAGGTTTGTCCAGGAACACTCTGCCCTGTCCGGCAGCCCCGGGACTAGCTTCATCGTTGCCCTTGGGGCCCAGAATGGCTGGGCAGGCGGACCCCCACCTCCACCCTGTTATCCCCGCCCCCACACCCTTCCCTCAGCCCTAGGGGGCCGGTCGCTGTGATCCCCTCTCCCCAGGTGACCTATTCTCTCGGGAGCGCCCACTTTGGCCGGAGGCGCTGGAGCCCCGCCCACCCACGTGTTCAGCGCCCTGACCCCGCCCCTCAGGCTCGGCGGGTTCCTGCCCCAAGTGACTTCTGTACCTTACTTACATGGAGGGGACCATGTGGGTCACTGACTACACCACTCCCGCACCCAGTCTGGAGGTCTTGTCCATCTGGACTTCATCCACCCCCTGCCCTCTTGATGGCATCCTCAGAGTTACTGAGACCAGCAACTGAGGGTGGCTGGTGCTGCCCAGACCCAGCCTGAAGTGAGGCTGGGGGTCCTCACTCACCACCTGTGCCTGAGCTGGGGGTTAGTGTACAGCCACTCCTGGGAGCACTTATCAGCGTTTCCCTCACTCACCCGGGAACAGGCTTCCTTCTCCTCCATCTGACATGAGCAGACTGGGGTTAGGCGGCCGAGGGACACAGCCAGAGCCGCACTGTGGGCAGCCATCGGGGCTGGGTCCAGACCCTCCAACCTCAGGGCCCCCACACCAGACCCTCTTCTCTGCCAGACTTTGGGGCACTGCTGACCCACACCTGTTCCCAGGATTTCTCTGGGTGTCGAAGTTGCCATTAGTGTCAAAAGGGAGACTACAAACACAATTGGTTAGTTTTGTCCAGCATCCCATTGCTTCAAAGATGTACTCCAGTGCCAGCCGGAGAACTGCCCCCTGGCCAACCGCACATGGGCTGGGACTTTCCTGTTCTGTCATCAGCGCTGCCCTCCACAGAGCACGGCCCACGTGTGTCCATGCCTGTGCTCACCTGCAGCTTCTCCCATCCATAACTGCTTGATGGGAGGGAGGCCTGGCCCACAAGTGGCTACATGACAGCGCTGGCAATTGTGGCCAAAACTGATAGAGGTAAACCAGCGACAGCTTCTCTATGAAAACACATCTTTGATTGGAGCAGCCTTCTGTGCCTCAAGATGGCCTTGAAGGTCCTCTCTGCCCTGGTCTGTGGCTGCTGCAGGCTTGCTCTTAGCTTTCTCTTCCTGAAGACTGGAAAGCTTTCCCCCGCCTGTCCCTCCAGTGCCTCCTGCTGGGCTGTGTTCTGGGGACACCACCTCCTGGTGTCCTCAGGCACTAAGCTCTCCACGCACTTTTATAGAATCTTGCCCATATTCACCCCCTTGTGCAACTCTGGCAAGATGTGAGGACTTGCACATGCTACCCTGCCTCTCAGCAGCTCAGTTTCCCCATATGGAGGGGACAATAGTAACAGCACCCGCCCCCATGTTTGTTCTGAGGGTTGAATGAGACATTTTGGGAAACGTGCTTAGCCTGGGGCCTGGCAAGAGGTGAATGCCCGATCCAGGCCAGGTAGCAGGACTGTTGTAGTCACATTTCCCAGAAAAAGGGGAATTCTGCCTGTGATTCCTGCCATGCAGGGCTCCTAGCACTGTTGGAGGAGTTTCATCTGTCCAGAAGTAGTTAGCAGCCTCCAGGGCCCTTCTAGGGATGATCAGGAATCTGTGGGGCCCCCTTCCCTCCTGATTCTGGAAGGCCCTCCCATAAGGCTCCCATCTCAGCATGCTGTGTGACTTTGGGTGGGCCACTTGCCCTCTCTGAGCCTGTCTCTTCTGTAGAAATGAGGCTGATGAGGGTGTCTGCCTGGGCTGGGTGGTCTTGAGAGTCAGCTGAGAGGACTATGACCCCCTGCTCCCCCCACCGTGGGCACTATTATCATTGTTACGGAGCTGCTGTAGCTGATCTAGTGCCTTCCTCTAGCTCTCACTTGTCTGGGATGTAATCACCCAAAAGGCCCATGTGCATTTTGCATTTAACATTTGACATGAGGGGGAGTGAAAGCAATCCAGCGGGAGAGATTTGTTTTTAAGGACTTCCTGAAGTCAGTGATGGGGGAGGAAGAGAGAGTCCCAGTGAGGGGAGAAAAGGGAGGGCATGCCTTGAGGCCCAGAGGGTCTGTGGAGAGGTCTGGGTCTCCACCTCCTTCCTCTGCAATGAGACACACTTTAAGTCCCTCCAGCTCTGAAAACTCGGGCATAACCTCCAGCTCTGCGCGGGTACTGCTGGGCCTGGCCCTGTTCTCTAGCTCCCCTTCCCCTCCCTGCTACCCACAACAGGCTTCTCTCTGCTCACTCTCTCCAAATTTGCAATCCCCCACCTGCCATGAAGTCCCCTGTGATCTGCAGCCTGACCACAGAGCAGGCCTCACTCCCAAGCCCCCTCCCATTGGGCTTCTTGAGGACGGGTCTTCTGAGAAGGAAGGTCCTCGTGGGCCATCAGCCTGGAAAAACAAACCCGGGGGTCTCTGGAACCATCAGATGCCACCCTGCATCCCTGTTTGAAGCCGCAGGACAGAGTCCCTTGCTTCCCAGCTGGAGACTTGCCCTGGGCAGAGCCATACCTCAGAGAACTCTGACCTCCATCCCCAGCCCGCTGTCCCTCCCCTCTCTCCTGACGATGCAGCGCCCATACTCACACCTGCCCAAGCTCCCCCTCCTCCCCCTGAATTGCTGCCCGCCTCCTCCCATGCTGAGGCGACTGTGCCTAGAAAGGGGACCCCGGCAAACCTCTGTAAAGGTATTCTTCTTCTGTAGTTAATCTTCAGTTCTCTTTCCTGGGAAAATCTCAGGCTCACGGCAGAGAGGGCCTTGAGTAGCTGTGAGGCCCCAGTTTCCTGACCTGTAAGGTAAACTCATTCAGAAGTTCCGACCTGCAATGAGGAAGGGCTATCTGAAAGGTCAGGACGGGGGCTGGTGTCTGTTGCCAGGGTGGGCGGTGCTGGCAGGGTGAGACTGAGGCCCCTCCTTCCTGGTCTCTCCCAGGACCCAGGTAGGCCCTTGACGCAGACCCCCCCGCCCACTCCCC